CTTTTTGCATATATTCATCTGGCGAAAATGACTGACTTTTCAAATTTAAATTGTCTTTGCTTTTGAGGGTTAAGATAGGATTTACTTGAAACTTCAAATCAATAGGAAGACATCTCATAGGTTAATAGTGCAAATGAAAGACAAAATTTGAATTTTGAGATCAGACATCTGTACATGTGGCCATGTGAAGTGCTAGGGAAAAGTGACAAAACTTTGCATTTGGCTTAGCTTGTAAAGGAACTTCTTAATCTCCTAGCATGACTGAAACTGTTGTAGGACAGCTTTATACATCCTATTCAGAGCTTCAAGGGATGGTTCACCTGTCGCCTCCAGTTGCCCCTTTGTTTTCTGTGCGTAGTGTTGACAGACAGTCGAGCAGAGTTCCACTAGTCTTGCACTATCCCAGTTCAAGTAATTGGTAGCTACTGCAACTTCTTATACCTATGGAGCAGTGCAGAGGCATAATGGCTCCAATAATCAAAAGTCTTCTTTAAAAAGACACGTCGCACAATTCTCAGCACTCTATCCTGAGAATTTTGTAATAACATGCTGTTCTTTAAGAACTTTACATTGGATCTCAATATTTGTTATCCAGCTGTGTGACAGCATTCCTTAAAATATGTGGTAAAAAGCCATGGAGGAGAAACAATAATTTTAATTTTTTTTAAAAAAAGTACTGGATAATTTTATTTCTTATAGAAAATTTTCTGTAATATCATACAGGATTCAGCATTTTTAGATGTGGCACAGAAGCAACACAGGGTTTGTGTTGCTTTGGACTAGTGGTGCTCTACCTGATGGTTAAAACAAAAGATCCTCAGAAGGCTGTCTACAGATGATTTAGTCCACGTGGGTTGAAGGTTGCTTTAAAGAACTGTTGTGCCATGGCTAGTGCAGAAGGACATGACACTTTCCATTAGCAAGGACTATGAGAGTAATAAAAACAACTGAACTTATGTGTTCTTAGCATTGTTGTGATTTTTGTTGGCGTTGTTCCTCTATAGGAAAAGTTTGGGTGTCTTTTTTTGATTATATCATACCTCAAGGTGTTAGAATGATTCAGGTTTTTTTTCTTGGCCTTCCCATAATTTCATTCTGTGTGTTTAAGTAACTTAACCTGTCTCTGTCCCCTAGTTTGATTCCTAATATGCAAAATTGGGACAACAGAAATTCATGATGTCATCAAGTTCTTGTGAGGTAGACTCCATTACTGTGGTGAGATTTTATGTTATGGTGATAAGTGCTGTAGAAATGCCTGCATTTTCTATGTCTCTACATATATAGCATTTCTCCATCCATCATCACCCTATGCAGTGATAATGTTTTTCTACCCCTTCTACTGTAGTAAGTAGCATGAAGTTGTCTGGAAGTAGACATCATCGGTCTTATGGCACATTTGTAGTGAATCTCCTACTCCATCCTAATGGTGAAAGGATACCTGCCAAGAGTTGAAATACGGGCAGGCGTTGCTCTGTGAGCACTGTCTCTCTCCTGTGTCTTCAGAGTCCTACTTGAGGGTCTCCTTTAAACACCAACACAATTTTTTTATTTGTTTCAACAGAGATTCCAATGTTTTCTGGCAACTATTCTCTGTTTTCACATTATGGTTATCAAGGTGATAAAGAGTTTTAAAACGTCCAGTAAATGTCACAAAATATATATTTTTGCAAAAAGAAACTCTTGCTTCTTTCCGTTTCCTTGTACAGTCAGATTTTTAGCCTGTCTGTATAAGACTTGTAGTATATTTATAGCCTTTTAAATAGAAGCACTATTTGGGGGCCTTTTGATAATCTTTTGCCTATACATGTGTAAATAGTTGACTATCGCGTGTAAGTAATTCCACATGCAAATAGGTACCCATCCAATATTATGTATTTATAAACAAATTCATAATACAAAATGAGAATAATTTTATTTTAAATATGAAAGAATTATTTGAAGTGTGTTCACAGGCAACTTAATCCATATCCATATGTATGTGTTTGCAGGAAATAAATTATGCTTTTCACAACCTAGTGGTAGTTGTTAACTCATAGGAATTGCTGCATTTCTGCATTACAGCTGTATATTTTCTAACAGAAGCAGAACTATCTTACACTTGCAACTTCAAAATGTAGGTCATTGTGTTGGTGAATGTAGGTCAGAGTGAAGGGGAAGAAGGCAGAACGCAAACTCCTCCACACGGATCTTTAAGCTTATCCCTGTTTTGAAGGCAAAGAGGCTTACCTACCTGTTCAAGCACGAGAAGCTGTTCCTTTTACTAAAATTAACACAGGTATTCTGGCTTCTTGGCTTAGCTGGAAGCACGGTGTGCTTCCACACTTGAGACCTGTGTTCGTGAAAGACCTCCTGGCTCCTGCTTCTTTAGCTGCCAGCCACTCTATTTCATTGCTGAGGTGATACTTCCTTCCCTACGGGGAAAGGGAGCGGGGAGGAGATTCGTTTGCATCGCTAGCATCCGCCTAAAGAAGAGCATTGTCTTTCCAAAGGTCCTTTACCCTTCTCTCAGCACAGAGCTATCTGATACACCTGCAGTTTCAGCCGGTATCAACACTGCAATGGTAGCAGGGGAAAGAACGGTGACCTCTCATAAAAGATTTAGTGACACCATTCAAAGTGCCCTTTCAATAATAGCCGTAGAAAAGTGAGAGACGTTTGACTGAGGGTACTGAAAACTCAGATGTTGAAGGATTTTGCTACAATTGACAAGAATTTTTAAAATGTGCTCAGGCTAAAAGTTTGCTATGAAAGGGTTTAGGTTTTTTTGTGTTTGTGGGTGTGGGGGTTTTTGGTAACGTGAGATATAAGTATTATAAATGGTATTAAATTAGCCGTGTCTTCACTAAATATTAAAAAAACACATTTATTGCTTGAGTATACACCAGTCACTGCAAACTGAAACATTCTTTATATTATACACAAAAATATTTAAACAGTTATTATATTTATTGCAAAATCTGTCATTTTAGCATATTTCAATGCTCAAAAGCATTGAAATGCTCAAAAGGGAGATGGAAAATCCTGTACAATTCTTAGTGTATGTTTCACTGAAGAATGGGTAGTCGTGTGTGAATATTTTATTTTAACCCTTAGCAAGTCTAAGCAAAATAGCACATTTGCAAACACCTAATCAGCCTAAACTGTCAGAAACAGAACAAATACCAATATTGCTTTAGTGTTTTTGTCATACACATGAATCGTTATTCTATTTTTTTTACCTTTAAGATCTTTGTCATCCAAAAGTTATATGCAAAGTTCTGGAGAAATCCTGTCTAGGTTTTTGCTTGATCTGCACGCAGACAACACATTCATAAATTTTCGTTATTTATCATTATGAGTAGGGGTAATTCAGAATACTTACTGGATGGAAGGGAAAAATTATATACTTGATGGTTGCAATCAGGCTCTAGGTGATTTAAAAGGAAGACGATTTTTCTCCCAAACTTGTGCTTCTTTCAAATATGTGGTGAAGTTTTTAAAGTCTTGAGAATAAAAAATTATGAAAAATGGTCTAAAGTATGCACATAGCTGGTAAGCTGCATGAAATTCAGTTCACCTGTCTAGGAGTATCTAATGGATGCTTCCACATGTCTGTTTTTGTTTACTGAAACCATTGAAGTGTCTGTAGTTTGTAACATTAAGTTTCTGTCACGTTGATTCATAATGCTGTGTGTTGCGGGGGGAGCCTAACCCTGTTTTTTACCTGTGGATAGATACGTAAGCATGTTTTTTTCATTTCTAAGCAACAACAGATGAGAAACACGTGCAACCGTAATTTGGCTGCATATGCCTTTGATTCACCCTCCCTTAACTTTGGGACCCTACCTCAAGTGCCTGGCTACAAGCCTGGTTTCCCCAGGCTTCCTCCAGCAATGGAGACTGGGGCCTGGCGGAGAGCGCGCGAGCCAGGCGGCAGCTGTGCTGCCCTCTCCCTGGGCCACGGCCCTTCGCTCACATCTTCACGTGAGGTGGGAAACCGCCCTGAGGAAACAGCAAGTTTCGTGAGTGAGGGGTGTTGAAGGGGTAAATTTGCGTGGATGCCCCCAAGTAATTGCCAAGGTTGACAATGACCAGTGTAAGTTTTATGATGGAAGCTTATAAAGTCATGAATAATACAGATTAGGTGAAAAATGTGTGATTGCTCCTGTCTATTCCCATACGAGAACTAGAGGGCCTCAAATGAGAATGACAGGGAGGCAAGTACAAAACTAGAGAGAGGAGATGTTTCTTTATACAGCACAGTAAAACTGTGGCGCTTCCTGCCACGGGACGTTGCAGCTATGGAAAGTTTATCGCAGTCCACAGAACAACTAGAAAAATCCCTTGGTGACTATTAAACAGAACTTACTGTTTGTATCTCCTCTCCTCCTCAGGAACTTCTTGAGCCACAACTAGAAATAATGCTGCATTATTCCCCTAAACCTGTATTTGTCCTTGGCATGTCTTGCTGGGCAGTGTCTCTTACAGTCAGACTGATGCCTGGCCTAACAAAACCTAAGAGAAAAGGAACTAAATGAAACTGGGAAGAAACAAAATGACTGTAGAAGCCAGCTAATGAAAAAGTAGGGGGCTCCTGTCCACAAAGGAGACAAAGGCTACACGGCAAGGTGGGCCTTGCATCTGGCCTGGCACAAACAGTTTGATGTTCCTGTGAATGCCCAAATGTCAGAAGTTTTGTAGAATTACATTTTGTATAACTTTTAAAGTCTTGACAATTGTATGTATTTGTATAGATATATGTGTACATTTGTGTGTGTGCGCGTGTTTCTATAAAGTAAACTTCTGATCATTAGTCAGGATTAAATCTATGAAATATTCAGTTCCAATGCTTAAATTGGAAGTCTTCTATTAAAAGTCTTATTTGTTTCTTTATTCCATGGTATTATGGCAAATTTAGAAAATGAAACGGTTGGTAGAGGTCTGCAAATGGTAATTTTTATTCAAATATTGCTGTAGAAAAAAAAATCTGTTCTAAGAAGGCGAATATCTTTGTTTTATAGGTCTCTGGCCATCTGAAGAAGTGCTGGCTTACTACTGCCTAAAGCACAATGAAATATTCAGGTACAGAGTTAAACATGAAAAGATATTTTCTAATCTGTTAGTTTTATTGTATCTGCATGGTAAAGATTGCTATGATTTAAGTCTTCAGATTAAATTTAAAATGTTCAAGGTGAAAGCATGTTGCTCTTAACAAAGAATTCTGAGCTGCCTTTGGGTACTAATATTGCACAGCAAGCTTTCTGCTATATGTCAAAGACTTTTGATTTCCACTCAAGGCGTTTTATTTCACTTTGATTTTTGGGAAACAAAAGTGAAGCTCCAATCGATCAGTACTGATTGTGAAGGTCAGGAAAAATAAAAGACATTCTTTAAACTGACATCTGTTGCAAAAGCAAGCAAAATATTACCTGATAAAATACCTAATAATCACTGCATATAGCGATGAAGGAATTTGCACCTGTATGTAACTGTTGTGAAACAATTTTGAGACATCCTGCACTATTGGTTTTGGTTTTTTCACATTTTCTGAACTTGTAGAAGACAGTTATCAAGGCTCCAATAGGAACACCTAAAAATAAAATCCAGCCTGTATCCTGTGTCTTTCCCCTTGAGTATACAGAGCTTTGCACTGGGAAATACTTAAGTTTCATTGTTCAGAGGATGAACGAGGTGCAAGAAAAGCCATTATAACAATGCATTTGGAGGCATAAATTGTGTTCTGAGTGAGGGTGCAAGGCTAACACCAAGTAAACCAGCTTGGAGTATACAAAATCCCTCAGTCTGTGTACTTATGGTGTTGGTAAAATAGGGAAGACCAAGCTGTAAGTCCCTGCCCCTTGTACCAAAGCTGAAAGCGTATCAGCTGTGAGCCAGTTCCTGCAGATTGCTCAGACCCCTGTCTGAAATCAAAGACCCGGCACCACAGCATGCCCTGGTTTGTAAAGCCTCATTTCTACTCCCTCCGCCACCTGAACGAAGTCCACCCCATTAGAGGAGGCAGCTAGCACACCTAATCTGGTAGCCCCTGCTCCTTCCTCCGAATTTAGCTGGGCACCACATTGTGTGACTTTTGCTGCTGGGGGGGTGTCCCTGTAGCGCTTCGCAGTCCAGCCCCATGCCGTGGCTCGTACGCTCTGCTCGTTCTCAGGGGCTCTTCACGGCAAACCTCCCTGTGCTGCTCACTGACAGGATATTTTCCTAGATTGGGTATGCAAGCCTGGATACTTGGAGGCAGTGATCACTCAAACTTCCACAGAGGAAGCGGGCAGTTTCACATCCTGATTTCTCTGGATTGTGCTTTCTCAACAGTACACTCAGAGTAGAGTTTCTTATTTTAATTTTCATTGATAAATCTCACTAAATATTGCCTGAGACACAGATATGATTTTTTAAATCTGCTAATAAGGGAACTCCGCACTGAAATAAATTATTTACATGCGTAAATATGTATCTGTATATGTGTGTGTATATACTCATATATTAAATACGTACAAATTTGGTTCAAAATGCACTAAACCCCCCACACTAGATACTTTCTGTGTTTATTGCAATAAGCATGACTCTTATAAAGGAATAAGGGCCTTGTGAATCTTATATACATAACTGTATGTATATACTTTTAATATATATGACATTATATGGTTTAGAAAAATAAAAACTTATGTGAAAAATTGTTCTATTTAAACCACAAACTGCAAATTTCCCACATCTGTTTTATATTCTCATTGGGTTTATGTACAGCTTGTTCCTCCGAACTACGTCCATTTTTTGTCTCATTTCCATTAAATAGGACAACTGGACATTTTTCAAATAAAATTTGAAATAAATTTTATATAAATTTATCTATATCTAGAAATAAATCTATCCCATCCAGACAGTGAGCATTAGCATACAGTCATACAGCCTCGTCCACTGGCCTCAGTGAACAAAATACCAGCATCTGTACACTCATAGGGCTTCCTAGCTGCTCTAGTGTCGAGTGAGTAGGGAGGTAATATTTTCACATAAAAATAGACTTTCAAATGTTGCTATTTTAGGGGAGAAGAAAAGGTGTGCACACCCCACCCCACCCCCAAAAAAAATCTGTTTAGCGGAAATTCCATTTTCTGCCTGTCAAAAATGTCTCAATGGGAATGTTTCTGCCAGCTGTAACAGTTGCCGCAGATTTAGCTATAAAGCAGCGTCTTCCTAAACTGGGGCTGTGCCTTGCCCTAGACGCCCCTTCACGCAGTTTCGACGCGGGGTCAGCTTCCCTCCCTCCTCCCCTCCTGGGGCAGGCCGTGGCTCTGGAGGACATTCCTTATGGCTCCCCCTGCAAGCTCCCATCCGGCACGCTCTCTGCGCCAAATTATATTTCACGTGCACGTCTTAATAACAGCGCGGTATGGTCTAAGTTAAAAGCAGCCTTTTAGACCATGCATTCAAAAGCCTCTGCTCAGGCTCAGTTTCGGCTCTTGACACTAACTTCGTTTAGTTTTCTGTGGCTTAGCTGTTTGCTGTTCCCATCGTTGTTCATAACAGCATTGTTTGTAGGTCACTTGCAGTTTTAAGTGCTAATTGAAGGATCAGATTTCTTCATGTGTAATTGTTTTGCGGTATATGGCTTGTTTTAAAACTTGTCTCTTTTTAATATAAAAAGGCTTTTAGGCATAACTATATGGAGAGATATATAAATAATATTAATTTCCCCATTTACTTCTCTAACTGTTTTTGCAAGAATGAATGTGGATTAACATTGTTATCCTTTCCTAACAATTATCTTTCGCTACTCTAGCTAGTTTAGTTCTAAAAGACAGAGCCATTGACAAGGGAAAAAAGGGAACCTTCTCAGATTTTTCAGCTCAGCGGTGGTAATGTTGCACTGAACACTAATGAGGGAACCCCCACTGATTTGCCTGCTTTGTGACTTTTCTATTTCATAATTATTTTTAAAACGCAAAACGACATGAGGTAGCCTAGTCATGTCTCTACAACTTCCTGGTAGCTCAGTTCTTACTGCAGATGGCAATTTGTTCTTGTAACATATATGTCTCTCTGACCATTTTCATCTAATTTGTATGGGTTCTACCATTTCCTTTCTCTCTTTCAGGGACCTTGCTGTGTGTGAGCTAGGGGGTGGCATGACATGCTTGGCTGGGCTCATGGTAGGTCTTTTCTCAATTCCAATCCCATTCAGAGGAAGAAACAAAAGGAAAAATGTTCCAGTGCCTCCAACTGCTGGGTCAGAGAACTGTCAACAGCCTCAGCTGCGGTCAAGCTGCAGAGTCTTGAGAGACCTTCTAGATTGACTTGCTTTCGTATCATATTGATTTTATGGTTGCCTCGATGAGCAGAAACATTTTACCTCCGTGTAGTCAATATCTCTTGTTGTGACATTCCAGGCCACGTACGGTCTGTCTTTCATTGCCATAGCCGAAGCTTTTTTTTTTTTTTCAGATTATAGTCCCATTTGCTAAGATACAGGAATAGCCTGGCGAATCACAGTTGGAGCACCATGATATAGCTGCTAATGTTTTGCCTGCATTATTACACCAACAAACATGATCCAGAGCTCTCGGTAATTAGATTCTTTTGAATTAGATTGGCCATTCAGGAGAGTCGTTCACCATTCTCTGGGTTCTGAGTCATGTATTCAGGAGATATTATGTAGCAGTGCAGTGCATTAGACAAGTTTTTATGTCTCTACAAATAAAAGCATATTGTTACACTGATTGGCATTTGACAAACCTGTCGCTCTTATACAATGTGTCGAGGTTACAGCCCAATGTGCGAGCATGTCAAAGCTCACAAAAAAATTACCCTTACAAAGCCATCTGCCTGCAATGCAAAGTTATATGAAGGGCATCAGGCAGTCAGACAGAAGCAAGCTGAAAGGCAGAGTGACAGCCTTGTATGATGGCTCTACTAGATAAACAGAAGCCCGCAAATGAAAGCCTCTCAGAATACCATCATCCGCTGTCACAATGCAATTACGGAACAGAATGATAGCAAGATAGAGGCTCCCGCAAATGGAATGATAAAAGTATTGACTGATTTGATTGAATGATTAAAATAATGCAGACATAAAATGAAAAAAGATTGAAGATTGTTACAGAGAAATAGGTGAGGAAGCATGATACTGAAGGCTTGTCACTCCTGTCTTCACTTCCACACAGACAAGCATATTTGCTCATTGTTTGCTGTGCTCTTTTTTTCAGGTTGCTATTTCTGCAGATGTCAAAGAAGTTCTGTTAACTGATGGAAATGAAAAGGCCATCAAAAGTATCCTTATTCAGATAGAAAACTGGTTTGTTGTGCTCGTTCCTTTTTACTGGCTGAGTAACAATCAATATAAAGACAGACAGCATGGGGTATATTAAGAAAAAGTCCCCACATAAGTAATTAAAAAATAGATGTAGAATATCTTGAACAGAGCTACAGCTTCCCCTACAATAAATGCCACATTTTCTTCTTTAATTAAAAAAGTACGTGTTGGTATAGAGCAAGTACAGTAGTAAATATTTGTCTTATGGTTGAGTGCTGAAAGATTCCTTGTGTGTGCTGCATGTTACAGGAGGTGTAGCAGTGAATCAAATCATTAGCTCCCCTTCACATATTCCTTTTGCTGCAGAACTAGATTTTATTTTTAATTTTCAGATACTAGCCTCTTAAAACATAGCTAGTATTTGTATATTGTCATAGCTTTTCCCGTGTATATTGAAATGCATGGTTTCATTGTTGCTGCTAAGTTATAACTGCCTATAAATTACCCATTTAGTGTGCTTAATCAATTATCAATTTATCATTATTTCTCTTGATGTAAGATTGCAAAATGCCTCTGTCCCTTGTAGAAGGTATTTTATTATATTTCTTATATTAGAATAAATTGCTATTATGCCCTTCTAATATGAATACATAGTTCAGAAAATTGAACTGGACTTTGGCTAAGCGAGAGAATGAGTGAGCATAATTTGTGGCCACATTAAATATCAGCACAGAACAAGAACAGATATATACAGTGAATACTAATAGCCCTTAGAAATTGAGAGGGGGAAAAAAGGAAGATATCTATTTGCTTTTGTTCCTTGGTAATCTTTTCATTTGCATTTTAAGGCAGACTTTTTTTTTTATGTTTTGGCCACTGCATCGTCAGAATTACTTAGATTTGACTTTTGTATCTATTTGATAGCTAACGTAATGAGTCCTTAGTGAAAAAAATAAGTTAAACCAATTTGTAGTTTAAAAAAATTGCAGTTGCTGATGACTGTTAAAACAGGAGACATTGCAGTGCAATAATATTAGCTACTACCTTTAAAAAGACTTTCTCAGAGGTAACTATAATTGCCTTCAACACTTTAACAATTTCATGGAAAAAACCAGCCAGTCCTAGATCATATCTTTTAAAAGTTGAAGGACATCTTATAAAAGTCTCCGTTTTCTTGAAAATGCAAGTTCCCAGTTGTGGTCCTCGTGTCTTGAGGAGGAAGTATTCATTATTCGGTGTATTTTAATCAGTGTCACCCCTTCCAGTCTTTCTTCTATGTCATTATGAAGTTAAAAAATATGGGAGAAAAAAATGTTTCAAAACTAGCCTAAGAAAACAAACTGATGTTTTATAGAAGCACAGGTATTTAACAAAAGGTCATTTTACCCACAGAAAGCTTCAGGTGAGCTCAGTAATCATCAAGTCAGCAAATATCTCGCATAGCAGATTCCATAAACATACCTGAACTTTTTTTGAAATTTAGAAGTCTTCTATAGCAAGGAAAATTGGCGAGTGCTAAAAGTATTCACTCAGTCTTTGGAATTAAACAAATTAAAGTGTTTTTATTCCTAAAAAAGATACTGTTAATGTCATCTAATTAGCGCACCTTAGTTTTTTCACAGTATGTTTTAGAAATATCTTTCATTTCCAAAAGTCTTACAAGGAGTCTTCATCTGTATTCACGCAGTGAATCCCTTTCAGAGAAGTGATTGGTGGAAGGCTCTAACAGGAATTTATTTTTCTTTTTTAACATTTGGTGCTCTGAAGGCTCAGCATTCAAAGTGCTTTTATTGTGTTGGATTTTACAATGGGCTTAATATTAGCAGGGTGCCAAAGTGCAGCAGACTAAGAACTTTACAGTGTAGGTAGAATGTATTCTTAAAAGTGCACATAATAAAATTTATGTTGCATTTTATGTGTTTTATGGACTTCAGTAGTAATTTTATGATCTGTCTTGTGGTAATTTTCTTTTACATCCTTTTCTACAGTGACTAGCTATAACAGAAGTTTAGGCTAAATTTAGATCTGTTTCAGCCACACCAGACTCACTGAAATCAGTAAGAATTTTTAGTGTAACTGGAAATAGCATTTGGCCCCAAGTGCCACAGACTACAAATGATGTATTTTTGCTAAGTTTTATCATTGCTGATGGTATTTTTTAATTGTTTAGCATACCAAATTAAATTAATGTGGGATAAAATACTGTTTTCTTTTGTAGATTCCGCTCTTCAGGAATAGTTAATGCCTAGTATTATGCTTTTTATGTAGGTATTATAGATTAAAATAATCTTGTTTAAAAATTACTGTTTACATCTTCCCTTTAAATTTCTTAGGAAGCTTAAATTACATGCCAGTCATACTATAATATCCAAAAATTACTTTCCAAAAAGTAAAAGTGGTTGTCAACAAAAAAGAAAAAAAATCACTGTCAGAAGCCAGGAAATCACCAAGCAAGCCTGCTAATTATTCTTAATGGGCAAGATGAGCACATTAAGAAACAAATGAATACATCAGTGAAATGTAATTGAAAATCGACCTGGCAATAGTGCATTGCATCTGAGAATCTGCCTTTGTATTATTATCATCATCATAATTATTGTTGGTTTTGTTGTTGTTATCGCTATTCAGTGAACGTAACTAACAGCTTTGCTTTGTGAAGTCTCAAGCTTTTGAGGATTTGATTTTTCTTTTAATTTTTGACATTCTTCGTATTATTCTCTGCCACGGGAAGTCTTCACTATGTATGTTTTCAATATCTATATTAGAATATGTTATTGAAATGTTACAAGTTAAAACAATTTATGAATATGTTAATTTCAAATCGTTGTCGTTTTAACCATTTCATTGTGAAATATAGAGCTATATTTTGTATTAATCAGTGGTCTTATGCAAGAGGTATATGGAGGTTTTTTTAAGGATATTACGATTTGATTTATTAGTCCATTTAAAAGACTTCTCTCTAACTCACTCCTTTTGCTTATCATGGGCAGATTTTAATTGATTAACAGATCATTTATATTGCAAAATCAATAAAATAAAGATAAAATAAAGACAGATGTTATTGCTTTTGCAGCTTCATTCAAAACTTTATTGTTGGTTTTGTGTGTTTTATCTAAGCTCTTTCAGGATCATTTAAATAAAGTATTAAAAAGAAAAATATAGATATTTCAAGTGAATAATAAAGTTATACATAGGCAAAGTTATCAGATTCACCCCCATCAAAATTTGTAATTTTGGGTGATATGCGTTCAGATACAAATTTTCCAACTTAGGTAATATCTATGACATAGTCAGTCGTGAACATTGAATTCTCTCCCCAGAACACCGGAAGCATCTATATTCAGTTCAACATGACCAAGTCCAAGGATGAGGTTCATTTTTAGTAAAAATTGTGTCCTGTTTCAGAGAGGCTGTGTGCTTTCTGCCTTAGCTCTGTTTCACACCACGCACTAGTGACTTGAACTACTGTCTGAGAGCATCAATAATACAAAACATTGTTGCAGTGCACTATAATGGCCATTAAAATATAGTGTATGGATCTTTCGACAGTCCTGGGAAATTTAGGTTAGAAAGGTCATGTTCAGCCTGAATGCCTGACGACATGGGCTCATCAATTATTTAAAAAAGCTAGTGTTAACATGTTTACAACAATTATTAAGTTTTGCTCAGTTATATAATTTAAGTGCAGTGTAGCTAATTTGTCAACAATGTTACTTCTGCCTCTACTTCAAAGTAGTGTGCTCTGCTCATGGCATTATTTATGCCTTCCTTTTGCTTCACAGGTATAGATCATTCATTACTACTTCTCATTGCATGTTGTGGAAAAGATTTAAAAGGCACGTCCAAACTACAGAGATTTGTTTAAACCACTTTTCTGTCATTCCATTTCTCATTTTTGGCTTCAAGATCAGTTGCCTTTTCTTTTACATTGTTTGGGTAGAGGCTTTCCTAAAATAACTTTTCTTAAATAGCCAACCATGTCAGGAAGGCCAAGTAGGTGATTTCGGCAAAGCCATTGAAAAGGTGATATTTTAAATTAGCCTGACACTAGTGTTCAATTTTTCTTAGAAGAGCACTTGCAAAGAATTCAACTTATTTTGTGCTCCCTGAAACATCCTCCTAATTAGCATCAGATTCCTGTACCTTAAATAAGAAAGAGGGATCATTGACATCTTTATCAAAAATGTCTGTTTAAGATAATTTTTTTATATTCAAGAGTGAATTGTTCAAATATGTATGGATTCACACTGGGTGACATTTAGTATTCTCAGAGTTTTCGGTTACTTGCTATACCTTTTCCTTTCAATGGCTTCTCACTAACCACAAGTGATTGATTAAGAAGGTTGTCTTTCTAGGCATAGATGACAACAATTGTCATTGACAGCCCTTGCTTTGGCCTGCCTGCATGGCTACCCAAATTTGTGACCTGATCTTCCAAACTGAAAGAAGCCGATACATGAGGTTAGGCATTGAAACACGAGGCTGAGGCACTGTTGCAGTGCCTATGGGGAAGAAAAAGCATTTCTTGCTTTGTACTATCTTTTATGGTGGTTGCAAACCATTCTCAAGAAAGCAAATAGACTAGAAACTCCTTTGCCTATAGGTTAAGGTGCTGCCGTTGTGCGTTGGGTTTCACCCAGACAGAGCCAGGAACAAAGGTACGTGTCCTGTGGCAGGACAGGTACTCAAAACCCATAAACCTCCAACCTGTGATCTAGTGATACAGTCGAAAAGCAGCACAAACTAAATTGGCCATGAAGTGACCGTGCTAAAAAATCTGTGTTCACCGTGGTTGCAGTTCTTATATTTGTAAACAATAGCTGCCTTGACATGTATATAAGGTATGGGAAGACTTTTTCAGTTCTCTCTATAGCTACAGGGCTAGCATTTCCTTAAATGAAACAGTAAACAGAGGTAGGCAACAAAAACAAGTTACTGCGTAGATATATGGCTGATGTGCTGGAGTAGCAATGTAAAATTTATGCTTCTGAAAAAAGACTGACTCTTAGCACAGATTAAAGACGACAAAACAGATAAAAGACATTGTGAAGGTGTTAGCCGATGGGGAAAAGTATTTTTTATTATTTTTATTACTGCTCTCATTTTATAGATAATTCTTAACAAATATGCTACAGATGTAAGCGAGATCATCTCAAGAAACCAAAATGCAGGCGTATTTAAGGCTCAGAAAGTGTCAAGCTGGTAAGATTCTACTAAACTGTTTTATGGATTCCTGCATGTAATTGTATATTTAATGTAAATGTGATATATGTGCAAAAGTGTGAAAATGTCACCTATATTTCTGATGCTGACACAAATGTGTATATACAAGTAGGTAAGTGATGCAAGACAGAAATTTGGAAGTATTTAAAAAATATTTAATTGCTTTTTAACACAGCAAATACAGTATGATTAATCTTGGTGACATAATCTCTCTTTCCTTTTTATTTTTTTAAGATACAGTATGTCTCTTCAAGCTGCGGTTTAGTGCATGGTTAAAATTTGGCTGCTTCAGAGTCAGCATTACCCACTGTACTGAGTGTGAGGCTTGGAGCGAATGTACTTAAATCACTGGCAGGTTTCATTTTAAATAGCTCTGAGAATTCAGGGTGGCAACAAATCCCATTTGCACCTGAGGTAGATGTTGTCGGAGCGTCCATGGGAGGTTTTCTGGTCATCGTGTCTGTACGATCAGTATCACATTTTGTCACAACAAGGGCAGATGGGGAGCATGGGAGCCAGGCACAGCGTGCTGGGGCCTTTCTCAACCTCCTTGACTATGTCCTATTGTGCATGGCACACCCAGCGTTTTTCTCTAAGTACTTTAGCTCTGTTTTCTCCAAGTTAGCCCTGAAGGCGTGCTATGGAGGGCAAGAGTTGTAGAAGTTCAGAGAAGTTGGCCTCCAGAGCCCTTCCTGACCCACCCTGTAGTAGATGCCACTGAAGTTAGCTGTTTAACTATCTATTTCATTGAAACATCTCCAGGTACACTAGGGACTGGAAGCAGCTGAAAAACTGAAGTGTGTTCGTCTCTCATACTATTTAAAAAGTAAATTGTAAAGTAATTCATATTTATGGCATAGGGTTATGAATTAGAATGGGCTTAGAGATGGCTACCTAAGAGCAAATAGAGCTTATTTGTGTGCCTAAATTTTTTTTTTTTTTTGGTGCTTCTCATTCCAGAAGAAGGTGTCTCAGGCCTTCTCAAAGTGACAAAAGTAAAGCTGAAAAAGGGCTGGGAAAGGCAAGCTGTTACAGCAGAATAAGTTTATTAACATAGGGGGTTAAACCCATACAATTCTAATGGCGATCATTCACATCATTTATCCTATGCTTATATAGCCATTCTGTGTATTGAAGTTCTTTTAAGTGAGCACTTATGGTTAGAAAAATTCTGCCTTCATTAGGATAGATGTGCATATAACTTAGAGATGTATTTCTGCATCCTAATAAGTGCCTACCAAGTAGACAAAGGCCATGCGGCCCCAGGAATAGTCTTTCAGGTTCCATGTACTGAATGGTTCTTGTGAGCAACCTCAGACGCTCATCGCTGCTGAGGAGAGCCTGTGTGGTACATCCATCCAGAAGTTTAGATTTTGTAGATTTTATATGAGATTTCAGATTTCATCCCTTGTCAAGACTTCAAACCTGGTCTTTTAGATATCAATCAAAAGCACATTTTCTACCCTGTCCTCATTTACATTTATCTAATGCTTAAGGTCATTTGTGATCATTTGAGTGTATTTCAGCATATGGAATCAGTGAATAATAGATTTCAGCCTCATGCTGTGAAGAAAGATTGTGTTTTTACAAGACATGATGTTGTTTACTGGGTGTTAATAATCACTAATTAATAAACATATCTAGACATCATAAAATGTTGCATTTTAAGGAGTAAAAATGTCAAGTGTTTAACTTCTTGAGTGCAATAGCATTTAAGGCCTTATTTGCATAAATAAAATAATTAAAATACAAAGGAAGGTGAAATACTATATCAAAACATAAGGCTCATTATAATAAACATGTGAGTTGATTTTTAGTTCTACATTCTTTAAGGCTTTTGCAGATTTGTTGTAACAGTATAAAGTTTTATAAAATAAATATTCAAATGACTCTTTAATTCCAAAAATAATGATCATTTTGCTTTTCTCTATGTTATACACATTAATAGTTGATTTCTCCTGTCAAAATTAAGGTTATGCTTTGCTTATTTGAAAAGTGCTAATGGATGGATCAGTCCTTCAGATTCAGTAATGACATGCGATGAAGGCAGTAACAAAGTTATTTGATCACTTCTCAAGGCCTGGAAGAAACTGAAAGGCTGATGTAAAATCTGAAACATTACCATAACCCTGATTCACTTTTCCTACAACCAAAAACCTTAGTTATATAATGATAATGGGGGGGGGGGGGGGGAACACAAAAAA